AAGAGAAAGGATAGGATAAACAAAATAAAAAAAACAGAGGGAAAAGTATTTCTGAAAAAAAACACCCTAAATATATAGAAAAAACAAAAAAACAACAAAAAAATTAAAACAGGCAGAAAGAAAACTAAAGAAAACTAAAAAAGAGAAAGGATAGTATAAACAAAATAAAAAAACAGAAGGAAAAGTATTTCAGAAAAGAACACCCTAAATATATATAAATAACAAAAAAACTAAAACAAACAAACAAACAAAAAAACTCAAACAGGCAGAAAAAAACTAAAGAAAACTAATAAAAAGAAGATTAGTATTTATTAAAAAAAAGACAAAAAAAACTCAAAAAAAAACTTAGAACAGGCAGAAAAAAACTAAAGAAAACTAAAAAAGGAGAAAGGATAGTATAAACAAAATAAAAAAACAGAAGGAAACATATTTCAGAAAAGAACAACCTATATATATATAAATAACAAAAAAAAACTAAAAAAAACCTAAAAAAAAACTTAAAAGAGGCAGAAAAAAAACAAAAGAAAACTAAAAAAAGCGAAAGGATAGTATAAACAAAATAAAAAAAAACAGAAGGAAAAGTATTTCTGAAAAAAACACCCTAAATATATATAACAAAAAGAACTAAAATAACTTAAAAAAAACTTAAAACAGGCAGACAAAAAACTAAAGAAAACTAAAAAAAGAGAAAGGATAGAATAAACAAAATAAAAAAAAACGAAGGAAAAGTATTTAAAAAAAACACCCTAAATATATATAAATAACAAAAAAAAAAAAACTTAAAACAGGCAGAAAAAAAACTAAAGAAAACTAAAAAAAGAGAAAGGATAGTATAAACAAAATTAAAAAAACAGAAGGAAAAGTATTTCAGAAAAGAACAACCTATATATATATATATATATATATATATATATATATATATATATAAATAACAAAAAAAATAAAAAAAAAATAAAAAACAAACTTAAAACAGGCAGAATAAAACTAAAGAAAACTAAAAAAGAAGAAAAAGAAAAGTATTTCTAAAAAAACTTTAAAAAACTAAAAAAAAAAAAAAACTTAAAACAGGCAGAAAAAAACTAAAGTAAACTAAAAAAGGAGAAAGGATAGTATAAACAAAATAAATAAAAAACAGAAGGAAAAGTACTTCTGAAAAAAACACCCTACATATATAGAAAAAACTAAAAAACTAAAAAGAAACTTAAAACAGGCAGAAAAAAACTAAAGAAAACTAATAAAAAGAAGATTAGTATTTCTAAAAAAAAAAAAACTGAAAAAAAAAAAACTTAGAACAGGCAGAAAAAAACTAAAGAAAACTAAAAAAGGAGAAAGAATAGTATAAACAAAAACAAAAAAAAAACAGAAGGAAAAGTATATCCTTAAAAAAAACCCTAAATATATATATAACAAAAAACTAAAAAAAAAAAAATTTTAACAGGCAGAAAAAAACTAAAGAAAACTAAAAAACGAAGAAAAAGAATAGTTTAAAAAAAAACTTTAAAACAGGCAGAAAAAAAACTAAAGAAAACTTAAAAAAGAGAAAGGATAGTATAAACAAAATAAAAAAACAGAAGGAAAAGTATTTCAGAAAAGAACAACCTATATATATATATATATATATATATATAAATAACAAAAAAACTAAAAAAACATAAAAAACTAACTTAAAACAGGCAAAATAAAACTAAAGAAAACTAAAAAATGAAGAAAAAGAAAAGTATTTCTAAAAAAAAAATTAAAAAACTAAAAAAAACTAAAAAAAACTTAAAACAGGCAGAAAAAAAACTAAAGTATTTTTTTTTTAGTATTAGTATTAGTATTAGTATTTCTAAAAAAAACTTTGAAAAAAAAAAAACTTAGAACAGGCAGAAAAAAACTAAAGAAAACTAATAAAAAGAAGTTTAGTATTTTTTAAAAAAAACTAAAAAAAAACTAAAAAAAACTAAAAATAAAAACCTGGAACAGGCAGAAAAAAACTAAAGACAACTAAAAAGGAGAAAGGATAGTATAAACATAATAAAAAAACAGAAGGAAAAGTATTTCAGAAAAGAACAACCTATATATATATAAATAACAAAAAAACTAAAAGAAAACTAAAAAACAAACTTAAAACAGGCAGAAAAAAAACTAAAGAAAACTAAAAAAAGAGAAAGGATAGTTTAAACAAAATAAAAAAACAGAAGGAAAGGTATTTCAGAAAAGAACACCCTAAATATATATTAAAAAAAACAAAAAACTGGAAAAAAAAACTTAGAACAGGCAGAAAAAAACTAAAGAAAACTAAAAAAATAAAGAAAAGAATAGTATTTAAAAAAAAAACTGAAAAAAAAACTTAAAACAGGCAGAAAAAAACTAAACAAAACTTAAAAAAGAGAAAGAATAGTATAAATAAAATAAAAAAAACAGAAAAGAGTATATCTGAAAAAAAACCCACTTTAAAAATATATATAACAAAAAAAAAATAAAAAAAAACTTAAAACAGGCAGAAAAATAAAAAAGATATATAGGAAACTAAAAACAAAGAAAAGTATTTTTGAAAAAAAAACAAACAAAAAAAAAAAACACCCTAAACCGGGTCTTTTGCACAGAAAAAAAAAACCCTTGCGGTTTTTCCCTCTCATGTGAGGGTTTTTTCCCCTCCTTGAGCTACCACCTTACCGTGGTGGAGGGGTTTGTGTGTCCCAATGATCCCAGGAGCTATGTTGTCAGGGCTTTATGCCTCTGAAAGGTCACCCAAGGCAAACAGGTCCTGGGGGAGAGACCAGACTAAGAGTAGCTCATCCAGACAGAGGTGCCAGGCAAAAAAATAGGAAAAAAAAAAAAACTGAAGAAAACAAACTAAAGAAAACAAAAAAGACAAAAGAATAGTATTTTTGAAAATAAACAACTTTAAAAAAACTTTAAAAAAAAACTAAAAAAAGACTTAAAACAGGCAGAAAAAAACTAAAGACAACTACAAAAAGAAGGAAATGAACAGTATTTCTAAAAAGACTTGAAAAAAACTAAACAAAAAACTTAAAACAGGCAGAAAAAAACTAAATAAAACAAAAAAGAGAAAGAATAGTATAAACAAAATAAAAAAAAACAGAAAGAAAAGTATTTCTGAAAAAAAATCTAAATATATATACCAAAAAAAACTTTAAAAAAAAACTTAAAACAGGCAGAAAAAAATCTAAAGAATACTAAAAAATAAAGAAAAGAATAGTATTAAAAAAAAACTTTAAAAAAAGAAAAAACATAATGAAAACTAAATAAAAGAGAAAGAATAGTATAAACAAAATAAAAAAACAGAAAGAAAAGTATATCTGAAAAAAACAAATATATATATATATAACAAAAAAACATAAAAAAAAATCTTAAAACAGGCAGAAAAAAACTAAAGAAAACTAAAAAAAAGCTTAAAACAGGCAGAAAAAAACTAAAGAAAACTAAAAAAAGAGAAAGAATAGTATAAACAAAATAAAAAAACAGAAAGAAAAGTATATCTGACAAAAACACCCGAAATATATATATATATATAAAACAAAAGAAAACTAAAAAAAAACTTAAAACAGGCAGAAAAAAAACTAAAGAAAACTAAAAAAAGAAGAAAAAGAATAGTATTTCTAAAAAAAACAAAAAAACTGAAAAAAAAAAAACTTAAAACAGGCAGAAAAAAACTAAAGAAAACTAAAAAAAGAGAAAGAATAGTATAAACAAAATTAAAAGAAGCAGAAAGAAAAGTTTATCTGAAAAAAACACTTTAATATATATATATATATAAAAATTAAAACAGACAGAAAAAAACTAAAGAAAACTAAAAAAAGAAGAAAAAGAATAGTATTTCTAAAAAAAAAAAACAAAAAAAACAAAAAAATGGAGATCATCGGCTGTGCAGTTGGATAGGATGAGGCCAGAGCAGCAGAGTAGATCCAGAGTGTGTCTTTAAGTGTGTGTCGGGAGGTTGATGAATTGATGGAGTCTAAAACTGTCCAGGCATGATGAGAAGTCTCTGGTGAGGGGCAGGTTGGTGTTGTTAATGTGTATATTGAAGTATATATATATACACCCTTAGAAATGGCAGAAAACTGAAAAAAAAACTAAAGAAAAAACCCTTCAAAGAGGCAGAAAACTGAAAAAAAAAACTAACTAAAAACTAAGTTTTTTCTAAAAAAAAAAAAAAAACACAAACAAATAAAAAACAAAAACACAAATCAATAAATATTTTTAAAAAATTTAAATTACATTTAAAATTTAAAAAACCCTTAAAATAGGCAGGAAATAAAAAAAACAAACAAAAAAAAGATACATAATAGTATTTCTGAAAAAAAAAACTTAAAACAGGCAGAAAAATAAAAAAGAACTATAGGAAACTAAAAAAAAAGAAAAGTATTTCTGAAAAAAAAAAAAAAAAACCCTAAACCGGGTGTTTTGCACAGAAAAAAAAACCCTTGCGGTTTTTCCCTCCCATGTGAGGGTTTTTTCCCCTTCTTGAGCTACCACCTTACCGTGGTGGAGGGGTTTGTGTGTCCCAATGATCCCAGGAGCTATGTTGTCAGGGCTTTATGCCTCTGAAAGGTTACCCAAGGCAAACAGGTCCTGGGGGAGGGACCAGACTAAGAGTAGCTCATCCAGACAGAGGTGCCAGGCAAAAAAAAAGGAAAAAAAAAAAACTGAAGAAAAAAAAACTAAAGAAAACATCATGTCATGGCATTGCTCGGGAGGTACGGAGTGACAACGGCGGACATTCAGTGCAGACCTCTTCCGACAGTTCGCCTCAGAGTGGGGTTTTGTTCACACTACCTCCTGAAAAAATGTGCTGACCCATACATGGCCCTCATGACATATCGGGCCACTCCGCTTGCCGCTTGCTGATCGGGAGAAAGCTACGTACCACAGTTCCAGTTCTCCCATCTTGTCTGAACCCAAAATGGCCAAATGTCAAAGCCCTGAGAAAGAAAGAACAGAGGGAGAGAGAGAAACAGCGGAAATGGTTCAATGACAGACACAGGGCCCGCAACATGGCCAGCCTGAACCCTGGTGACCGCGTCTGGGTCACCGATATGAAGGAGAAGGGGACAGTGACAGCTGGAGCTGACACAACACGCTCCTACATCATTGACACGCTCCAGAGGGAATCTGCGGCGCAACTGAAGTCATCTCGTCACCTTGCCTGGGGCCGGCGCTGGACCTAAAGCCCCACAGACCCCTGCTTCGCCAGTGGACATCGCACCGGTCCACGATTCAAGAGACCAGGTTACGGTGAGGCCCAACACTACACCGCCGAGGGTCCAAGCGATGGAGAGGCGTTACCCTACCAGAGAGAGAAGCCCTCCGAGGTACCTTATGGACTTTGAATCAGATAGAAGGTACTCTCGTAACTCTGAGTGACCAGCCCGGTGCAGAATAATCCCCTCACTCAGATGAAGGAATGGGTAGTCCACCTCACCTTCATAGTTAGGGAAAGAAAGGAAAGATAAGTGAGTGTGATACAATGGTGTTGTTAAACAGTTTGGAATATTTTGATTTATTTTGAAGTTACTTGGAGTGACTAACAAAAGAATGGGCTAAGGATAATCTGCAACACAACTGGTGAACTTCTGAGGTGTTCTATTATGTTATGGCCTATTGTATGCAGCCTACCCAGAAGGGAGAATGTGTTGTGAGAGCTGTTGTGATGTTGCCCTGTGTTTCCCTAAGCTACCACTAGGTGGGGAACTGTTATTACAAGTGACGGGATGTCCTCTGTTGTTGTTGTTGTTGAATAAACATGCGAGCAAGCTGCAGAGTTTATCGGCTCCGTCTGACTACACGTTATATAGCATACGAGTTATTGCTACCATGACAGACATTGCAGGTGTCGGTTGAATACAGGTGGGGGCAGGGCCGCATTATGGGGGTCTGAGGGGTTTGAGAGGGGTCCAAACTCCCCCCCAACCCCCCCCAACACTCCGAACCCCACCCCCACCCGCCACCCCCGCACCAACCTACCGTACCTAAGGATTCTATAAAAGTTTCTTTCTGCTCTTCCTTCTTGCAAAGTCGTCCACTAACTAATCAAAGTTGAGCTGTCAAACAAACTCTGATTCTATTGCAAGAAGGGATAGTGAATTCAACCCATTTTGGCACATTTTCATCCTGAGCTCATTTTTTATTCGAGCCAGTCTAGAGAATGACGGTTCCCCTTCACAGTTTGTTATTGGCAGGGTCAAAAACAGTCTGAGTGCAATGTAAACATTTTGGAAAGCATTTTTGTTCTTCTGAAATGAATGATTTGTACTGAACAAGTTCATCTGCCAAGCTGATCAGTGGGTCAGGTCAGATCAGTGGGATATGCTGCACCAAGAGATTCTGCCCTTAAAGTGAGCTCACTGTTGGACAGATTATCAGACATGAAAAGAACATGAAAAAGATTGGTCAAGTGTGTGTATGCAGTTAACCGATGGTTAAGACAGGACACAAGTTTTTCAAATAGAACATTGAACGTTTCAATCCAAAACTTTTCTTCTCCACTAAATTCAACACCTGGCTCTGCACTTTCATCAGCCATACATTTGCTCTTCTTTGTGCGCTGGAGGTCATGTCTGTAGTCTTGGGAGAGTGAGTCGGTAACAGTTAAGCTGCCACAAAGTCACGAAGTGAAAGGAGAAGCTGTGTAGCCGTGTGTATGTCAATGTCATGTTTCTGCAACTGCAGGCTCGTGGCTCGGAACCGCTGCAGTATTGTATCCCAAAAGTGTGCCATGAAAGCTATCTCCAGGGTGTCCAGCTTGCCACAGAGTGCAGAGGCCTCGCTTCTAGTTTCATGATATCAACCATTCAAGGCTGAATTTAGGCGGTACATTGGCGTCTCGGATTAGTGTCGTTCTTCGCTGTAGTAGCACCAGTGAGCCTGTAGGGGGAGCAGCAGCTTAAACCAAATAAAAAAAGAGTCACTAAAATGAGCAGAAGAAGAGATCACACTGGTTGGTTATTAGCGTTATTGTTTTTTCCTCAATGAAGCAGTTGATAGGTGAAATTTATCAGACGGAGGGGCTTTCTTTTTCTTTTTTATAATGGGCTGAAGTCTGAGCAGCTGCAGGGCTTTAAACAGGGAGGAGAAGCAGGACTCAGTCTGACCCCTTCCTCCAGGTTTCTGCAGGCTGAACTGGAGCTGAATGTCCTTCTTAGCCGGCTGTCCTTCACAGAACCCGTCCGCTATATCTACAACCCTCTGGAGTACGCCTGGGAAACTCACCGCTGCTATGTGGAGAGGTACTGTCAGAGCGGACAATCGATCCTGTTCCTGGGCATGAATCCAGGTCCTTTCGGGATGGCACAGACAGGGGTGAGCACAGCATTCTTACACAATCCATGTTTCATTTTGCATGTATAAAACTGCTGATAACCATTGATATTGTGGTGACAAACAAACCATGTGATCTGCAGCCTTGGGGTCCGTTTCACGTAGCAGGTTTAATGGAAACTCGGAGTCTGTTAACCCTGAAATCAGGGAAACTCTGAGTTTTCCGTTTCACAAAGGAGGATTAGTTAAACCAGAGAGAGAGGGGTAACTCTAACCTGTTTCACAAAGAGAGGTAACTCAACCTCGCGGTCAGTTACCACAGTAACAGACTCCGTGAACCTAACCTGCTCGGGAGCAGGTTTAACTCAGTAAACCCAGAGTTTCAGGTGAGACATCGGCATTTTCTCATTTTGATCATGTTTTACATTGTCAAGTAAGTATTAAGTGGCAGTTTGATCCCTTCAAAAATGCTCTTTTCACACTCAAAAATGAATTTTACTCTCTTATGATGTTCCGTTAAATGATTAGGAATATTAAACTAACACAAAAACGGGTGGTGGTCCAGCAGCCCCCCCCCCCCCCACACCACACACACACACACACACACACACACACACACACACACGCACGTACACCAGTCCGACGATCGCTGCTACGGGGTGGGTGGGGGTGGGGAGTTGCGATTGTCGAGGGGGGGGCAGCTCCTCTGCCTCCGTTAAAGGTGGGGCTGCTGGGCCACCACCCGTTTTTCTGGCATCTGCCCTCTTTCTGTATGCTGAGTGAAAGTCTAATATTGAGTGTAGTGTGTGTTAGTTTAATATATGTACATATAGATACTGAGAGTTGGTTTAATATTCCTAATCATTTAACGGAACATCATGAGAGAGTAAAATTCATTTTTGAGTGTGAAAAGAGCATTTTCTAAGGGATCAAACTGCCACTTAATACTTACTTGACAATGTAAAACATGATCAAAATGATTCAAGCAGTTTCCCTGCAACAGTCTGTCATTGTGATTGCACGAGACTAGATTTAAAGTTACGCATTGACGCGAGCAGCGATTTCCTCCCATGCCCTCTCCCTCTCCTTTGCAGCTGCTGCTGTATTGCACTTTCTTTTAAAAACGTGCTGTAATTCGCCGTTGGCTTGCTGCTGCCCCCTTCTTCTCCCTGTTTCCATTGGTTGATCAATTAATCTGGGCTCCACAGATGCTGGCTGTTTATGTCTGGCGTGCACGTGCTTAACTCCAGGTCAAACTACTCGGAGTTGCTAAAACTGTCTCAAATCAGGTGTTGTGAAACCGGAAACTCAGAGTTTCCTATCTCAGAGTAGATCAACTCAGAGTTAAGGATTTAACTCAGAGTTTGTTGAACCACCTACGTGAAACGGACCCTTGGTCTCTTGTAAGCGGAAGTGGACCAAAACAAAAACAAACTGCAATGGTAACTTATAAACTTGGCTCTACCTGTGGTGATGAATACACTGATATTTTAGATCACATGCGTTTCTTAGGTTTTGATTATGAGGCTTATTAATTTTACTATTAATTTTACTAGATTTGATATGACATTTGATATCTCAGGGGAGAGTGGGGTAAGTTGAGCCAAAGGGTAAGTTGAGCCACCCCCTGTTGTTTGAAAATGGTAAAAGAAATTGATCATCTGACCAAATATTTAGGAGATGGGCATCAATTCATGGAGTCTGTGAGGGTTAGAAGCACATGGGTGAAGGGCTTAGACATTTATTTCTAAAAAAACATTTTTCACTATTGAAAGTGAATTTAGTCCGTCGTAAATTTTATTAGAATTGTGTTCAGACCATGGACTGTATATACTATGGACAACTTGGTTCCGCCTCCTGCCTGTATAAGCATTTCAAGCCGAAAAGCGCTCTGTATTTCTGGGATTTTTCTTCATTTCCTGAAACCAACATTTAGTCCTTGAGCCGGACCAGATGTCGGTATCACTTGGGTGGGCAAAACCTTACATATACTAAATTGTTTTTAGGGTCAATATAAGTAAATTAAAATATGATAGACTTTTCATAGGGGTAGCTTTTTATATTTTTTCTCATTTTGTTATTTTCCTCAATAGGCGAATTTTTGTTAACTCCAAAAGCAACACAGAAAGTCAAAAGCACATTAAAAGTCATACTCTATTTGGGTCACACTGCTCTTTTCTATAAATGAATCAAACCTGTGTCTAATTAAATGAGTTGATGAAGTGGGAGTGGCCCAATTTGATGGTGGAGCAGTTCTTTCAGGTATCATAGCACTTGAGCCAAGAACCAAAATTTCACATATCAGTACCACCTGGGTGGGCAAATTCTAGTTGCTATACATTCCTACAATAAGTTTTTATATGATAGACCTTGGTAACTGGTAGCTTTATTGTAGTTATCACTCATTAAAGTAATAGAGTGCAGCTGTTCAAAAATGAAAAATCGCCTTCCTTCAAAATTAGCTTTCTTTCATTTTGACCTCTCATTTAGGTGTGTTTGAACTATTGGCTAGCCATAGAGACTTGTAATAACCCCCTAAGTAGTATTTCAAGTAATTTATCTAATACAGGTGTGTATATATAAGCTTCAATTAGCCAATTGTCAGGTCTAAATCAAGGTCTAAATTAAGGATATTTTTTTACTTAGAAGTAGAAGTAAAGTAAATGCAGACTAATAGCATTATAATAACACAACTTTAATATGACACTGACATATTTTAAATGCAGGCACTCATACAATCATCTTGGCTGGTGCAGGGCAAGAAGACATTGGCAACAAAATAAAATCTACTGATGTATACACTCTATACAATCATCTGAGAAAAACTCCATTCCTCCACCAAGAACTTGATGAGACTGGCTTTGTTGGCAGGGCTGCAGAGAAGTTTCCTCCACTGCTGAATATTGTGGCCAGAAACAATGTTTCTGAACTGGATCCCCATGTCTGCACCTCTGTTTAGTCTTTCTGAATTTTTGATTGACATGTCCTTGTAAACGTCAAAGACAACATCAATCTTTTCACTATCACCACCTTCATGCAGGACCTTGGCTAAAGTTGAGTCCAGCCAGCTTCCACCATGTCAGGATTGCGTATTAATGCAACCGATTCGTGCCAACTACCAGGCTGCTATCTGGAGACGGTCTCTTCATACCAAGCCATCTGTACCAAGCCCCAAGGACCATGGGTGGACCATAAATGACGAAGGGCAGCTGGAAATACAGTGGATGCGTGGTTCCCCAGCACCAGATGCGGTCTTGCAGTTGCTATCCTGCAAGTGTGTGAGGACATGCAAACCACCAGACTGCACCTGTCTCAGCAATGGGCTGAAGTGCACAAACCTGTGCAAATTACAAACTTGTGCCAACCAATACAGTGAGGAAGAGCCCCTTGCACACCGGCAGATTCAGATGTAGAAGAAGATACAGATACTGATGTCGATTACTGATGTTGATTAATAAGTGATGACCAAAAGGATTTATGTTAACAGACCCACTGTGACTCAGTGACAGTATTATGTACTAAGCCAAACCTTGACAGTCATATTTGCTGTCACTGTTCCTTATGGAAAGAATAGGACTTTGAATAGGAATTTGAGTTTTTCTCAGATGATTGTATAGAGTGTATACATCAGTAGATCTTATTTTGTTGCTAATGTCTTCTTGCCCTGCACCAGCCAGGATGATTGTATATTGAGTTCCTGCATTGAAAATATGTCAGTGTCATATTAATCCTTATATCCTTAATTTAGACCTTGATTTAGACCTGACAATTGGCTAATTGAAGCTTATATATACACACCTGTATTAGATAAATTACTTGAAATACTACTTAGGGGGTTATCACAAGTCTCTATGGCTAGCCAATAGTTCAAAGACACCTAAATGAGAGGTTAAAATGAAAGAAAGCTCATTTTGAAGGAAAGCGATTTTTCATTTTTGAACAGCTGCACTCTATTACTTTAATGAGTGATAACTACAATAAAGCTACCAGTTACCAAGGTCTATCATATAAAAACTTATTGTAGGGATGTATAGCAATAAAAAAATCACAACTAGAATTTGCCCACCCAGGTGGTACCGATATGTGAAATTTTGGTTCTTGGCTCATTTACTAAACGTGAAGGGGGAGCTGCTGCTGCCCGGTGTTTACGGTAAATAGACGCAAACACCCACCAAGCGGACGCTTCGGTCTCCGAAAAAGCCGAGACAAATTTACAAACAGCCACTATTTCAAACAACAGGGCTCATAATCGTGATGTAAACACTTACTTTCTCGCTAGAAAAAATATTATTATTGAATGAATTTATATAATTTGTCCGGAATGCAGTCGTTCTGTGTAGCTTGTGGTAGGACTATTTAAATTTTCCCGGCGCTGCGTCCGGCCGGCACGAAATGCATTCTGGGGTATTTAGTATGCATCTGTATGTAAACGCTCGGGCAGCTGTGGCATACTCAAATCATCTTTGAGTAGTCAGTATGCAGTAGGTACTGCTTGAGTAGGTAAGTAGATAGTAGGCAGTATGCAATTTCGGACACAGCCTTTGCCAGCATTACCTACCTGCCGTTTTTCATCACCACCTGACTAAAGTCCCAACTACACGAATGCGGATATATTTCAAACCGCACATATTTATGTCTGATTAGGCCTCCCTACCACACCAAAACGGGAATTTGGAACACTCAAACCGGATAAATCTGAATCCGAAAAAACAAGTGGAGAAATGAAAAAATATCCGTACAAGTGGATTCGTGTGGTTGAACTTTTACGGATCGATGACGTCAAACCGCAGCTCGCGCATGCGAATTAAAAAGAAAAACAACAACACCGATGGCAGACATACAGGGTATTCTTTACGTTTGTTTTGCCCTTTTGGGGCTAATTTCAGCCTTGCAAGTGAATCTTGTTTTATACAATTACATCCACCAGTCAGCCAGCTCACAGAGGCGTCTACTCACCTCTGGGAGCATGACATTTAAGACAAAATCTAGCAAGTGAATCTTGCCTCTCTTGATGTTGTCAGATATGGTCGTTGCCTCCTAAATTAACCGCAGGAGCTCGAAGATCTATTGAAGAAAAACATAGAAAGTAAACAGCTTTCAAATGTAACACCTCTGAGAGTAAAAATACTCATGATGGATGGCATTTTTACTTACGCGCTGCTCACTCTATCATAGTGTCCTTATCTTCAGATGCTGCTTGAGCCGGAGTGAGGTGGTGGGTTTCCTCCAAAGAAACATCCTGCCGGAGTGGATGTTTCCAGAAAGCAGATCATCGTGTAATGTCTGAAACCAAAGAGCAAGAGACAAACATGTAATCATCTGAAAAAGAAACGGTGGCTTTAACAACTGATAGTGCATTCAAAAGCAACCTTGATCTGTGTCTTAGAAAAGACAGCACCAATTCCTTCACTGTCAACAGCATCCTTGATCCTGCAGAGAAATAAGAAAAAGAGCAAGCCCTCATTTTTCATCCTTTGCGCCTCGTATTTTTGACTGATACTATGTTTCTTTGATAAATTATGTTATACCGAGGATGCTCAATGAAGTCCTCGTAGCCACAGTCAAAGGGCTCCATGTCAATCCCGGCACAATCTTGATGCAGCCAGCCCCTGCATGTCTTGCACTGGACCCATTTTACAAACTTTACCTCAGGGTAAAGCAATCTGATCAAATGAGAGACAAACTTAATATTAAACACACACGCTGTCCAATTGATTATACCTCTGCAGCACATTTGAATGTGTTAATAATTTTACCACATGATTCATGCAAATAAACTATATGTAAAAGTGTTAACTTCATGGAAAATCACTGAATAGGCCCCGATAATTGCATTTATTAAATTGAGTCTGCAACACACCTCTCTCCTGTGGTGTCGGATGTCTGGTAGATACAGAATTTCATGGAATCTGCCATGCACACTCTTTGGACATCAGATGTCGTCTGTGTCATGGTTTCCTGGACAAGTCAATTTGAAAACTAACATCAATTACCAAATACATCGAGACAATGTTGATCCATACAACTGTGTGCATTTTGAAGGACTCCCACTGAGATAATACTGTTTTTAGAAGGTAATTTTCTAACCTCTATGTCCTGCTGCTTGGCCTTCCTCTTAAGCCTGAAGACTGGAGTATGCTTTCCAGCAATAAGCTCCTGACATTCCTTCATCCAGTGGGCAAAGATTTTCCCATAACTGTAATGACAATATATCTTTAAGTACAATATATTGATTGTCTTCCAGTTAATTAGGGCATCTTATTTACCTAAACTGTCTACCTATTCAAAGCATTGTTTTTCAAGAGCAACAGGCACCACCATCTCCGCAAAACCGGCATGTCATGCTGAAATTGTTGTTTGTATTTCATTTTAGTGCACAATACAAAATACAACCTTGAGGATGACACTGCGTGTTGAAAAGTACTTACAACTGACTAGTCAAACTGTGACACCATAACAATGTACATGGCAGACTTAAAAATAATTATGAGACAACATGTGAGATAACATTAAAAAAGTCCATGTTGGAAAGTTATTCTAGATACGACAATATTTGTGCATTACAGCTTGTTATGACCTACCATCAACATGAATATGCCACAGTCTGAGCTGAAGTCCTGGCTGGGGAAACCCTGATTTAACAAAAGCAAACGTTAATCATCTTGTCACATACACTTTTCAACTGTAATATAGAGCATGCACAAATACCTCTAAATCTCTGCCCATTTTCTCATTCCATTGTCCAGGACATATCATCTGCACAATATTCCTGTTAATTTGACTTTAGACGGGGGTACAAAAATATCCTGATAAATAAATATCTATATACGTGTAGTCCGGGCCTTATATGCTCATCAAAATCCATGGGAGGAAGTACTGTGTCGTCGTTGATGAGACCACCGACGCACGGGACTGCAGCGTCCTAAACATCGTCATCGGTAAGAAAATATAATCATTTATTTTGTGTTAAAGATACAGTTTATGTGTCAAAATAAGGCAAATTTATTGATCACAAACTTACAGCTGCTATCTATCATTATTATTGTTTTTTTATATTGATATTTATTTTTATTTGTATTTTATTTATAAATATATTGTTTGCATCTATCTTTTTCTATATGTCCTTTATCTACTTTTTGTAACTGCTGTTGGAAGTCTATTTTTTTTTAAAGAGTTTCCAAAGACATTAATAAAGTAACATCTAATCTAATGTAGCATGGGGGATTGAAAATTAAGAATATGTATAAATAATGAAATAGGACAGTTTACAATCAAATGAAGCAGCTGCCTACCTCCAGCTTTACCTTACACTTTGATTGTGGCACAATACTAATCATGTTTATTTTATTTAATCTCTCATTGCAGGGGTTGAAAAACAGCACTTCCTGATTGATGTTTTCATGGACAGATGCAACTACTCAACATTTTCCCAAGCCACACTAGCCTCCCTCAATCGCAACAATCTGGAACTTGATGATGTGTTGGCCCTGGTTTCAGAACATGTTTTATTGTTTAGTTCATGGGCTGTTGCAATTTTTTATGCACTTTTGTTAAAAATATTGTTGAAAGGCAATGAAATGCCAGCAAGCATTAAGAGTTTTCAGTTATAACTGAATAAACTGTCTGCATTTCATTACTTTATATGGTGGTTAAGGGTTAAATTTGCATAAAAAACTAAAAAAACGAATTGTCAAAAAATTAAAACCACAAAAAAAACAAAAAAAACGAAAATTGGAAAAATTGAAACGGAATTTGGGAAAAAATAAAACAGATTCCTGCAGCCTCAGACCTGTTACTGCTTTTTCCAGTGTAGCCTACACTCCTCTTCCCTCTTTAATCTCAGACTAACAGGGTCAGGTTCCCTCTGCCAGAACCAACAGCAGAGACCTGTTTGGGTTTAAAGAGGATTTAAAAGGAACAGCAGCTCCTCCAGGACTCAGAAACACAACACAACAGGATCACTTTACATCTACAAAAGAACAGCAGCTTCCCTTCAGCCCTCGGAGGACTCATTATACAGCACTACATTACACAACTAGATACAACACGAGTGTTTACACTATCTATAAAAAAACCCCAGAACCAAACAGAAGTGGATCCCTGAGTTCAGAGGTCCAGATCTGCTTGCAGAAGAGTAGAGAACTGAGTCTGGACGATACAAAAACAATTTAGATCAAAATGAGGATTGAGAAAAAGATAAAAGTCAAAGTTTAAACGTTGAAATAATGACAAATGAAATTTTAAATCAGACATAATATTTAAATGTCATTATTTCAACTTCTTTAGTTTTCTGAAAAATTTTCTAAGTTTGACTGTTTATCAGAACATTTGAACTTGTCTCACTTCCTTATAATTTTACAACATTAACCTTTAGAGTTCAGACTTTTATTTATACAGCATTGACTCTTTGTCTCATACACTAAATTCTCGTCACCCCAAAGCTGATCCCAGTTCACCTCTGTAAAATTTTATACCTGCTGTCTTCTTAAAGGTGCTTTATAAATAAATTTTGACTTGACTTTAGACCAGAAAGACCAAAGTCCATTTAAGGTGGACTGAAGGGAAAAGGAAAGATGTCCTGAGGTCTGATGGATCAAAATCTAACACTCTTTCGCCAATTAAGTCCAGTTACCCTTTCAACGAAGAACTGGAAATCAAAGATGCTGCATCCTCAGTTTTAAACTACATCTTCAGGTTTAGGAGCAACATCTGCTGCCATCCAGACAAAGACTTGACAGGGAAGGGAAGACCTTCATATGATCCCAAACCACATTCTGTCAACAGGGATTACAACAGCATGGCTCTGGAGGAGAAGAGTCCTGCTGCTGAGAAA